TGTTAGGGAGGGTTAAGTCTTTTTACCCCTCCCTCCTGGTTGTAATTTCTATATCTCTTTTTATAAAATTTCTGTTATTGATCAAAAAAAAAAAATCTACAAACCTATCTATCATCTTCTCTGGCTAGATCTTCCAACCTTGTCAAGATTACAGCTCACTCTGTCTATGTGTCACTCAATTTAGAATGCTAGTGTATATAGTTGCCACCTGAGAGTTGTTGCAGAAAAAACATAATAGGCTAGCTCAGCTCTCTTTGATCTGTAAGCAGAGCTTACTGCTTGATTTGACTAAGTCACACTTTCTTCTTGTTGATTTATACACTTTCTTATCCACAACAATTTGAATGATGGCTGGTGGATCATTCCATATATACATGTGAGAAGAACTGGGTTTTCTATTCCATCCCTACCTCATACGAGCAGGTATTGTTGTCTTCTATGGGTATGTGTTAGTTGATCCAGTCCCTTGATTTTATGTAGACATAATTTTAGAGTGTAGCTTGCTAATAACCATGGAAAAAATATCTGGTACAATTAATTTGCACTCCAGTCAATTGACATGAGATACCATTTTTGGTGCTTATGCTGTAACAGATTTAACTTGTTACAATGCTCTGCAAAACCAACAGCAATGTTCTATTATGATATGAGTAAAATTGAATCTTGATCTAAAGAATCTAAGATATTTTGAACTCTTTTTTATAAGCTTCATGTATAGAAACAAGTATTCCTTTTAACACTTTTATGAAGGAATGGAAAAATCTCTGTAGCTTGTTTCTGCATATGGCATCATACAGAAAATGGATTTTGCATTTGTGATTGTTCTTACCTTTTTCTTCTTTTATCCCAGGCGGATTTCTTCATGACATACATTTTGACAGATGGACTATCAGGGTTTTCATTGGAAATTCTTCAGCCTGGCTTAATGGCATGGAATTTTTTGAACGTTCATTTATTTTTTCGAGGAAAAAAGAGGAAACCATATATTTATTCTTTTCCATATTACAGAGTTATTCCTATTGTCTCACTTTCAATATTAATTGGGACGGTATATGCATTAGTTGCGCCATTGCTGCTTCCATTTCTTGTAGGATACTTCATCCTTGGATATATTGTATATATCAATCAGGTCAACCTTGCTTCTCAATTCATTAGTATGTTCTGAATTGATCCATCCTAGTTTTCTCTATTTTTTATTTTCTTAATATTTATTACTAACACCATGTAAGTAATTGCTCTGTGCAAAGATGTTTCTGTTTTCACTTTGTTGAAATAGTTTATTTCATATTTATTTTCTTATTCTTCTTAGTTAGGGTCTGTTTGGTCTGTTTAAAGTAGTTTTTTTATTACTGTTCTTGTACTTTAATCTTAGCAGGGGCACAAGGGTCTTTTCCCTTCTAATTATGGTTGCCCTATAAATATTAATGTAATCTGGCGTCGCCAGACTATGATTGGGTTCGCCAATCTTCTTTCTTCTCTTCTACCTTCTCTCTTCTCTCTCTCTTCCCTTCTTGTTTACTGCTGTTCGTCCATTGTTAAGATGGTATCAGAGCAACTCTACTGGATTTGAGAGCAGATCGAACAAGTCTTCTCCTTCATCTTGCTGTCTTCTCCAGACTGAGAACAAAAAAGAAAAAAACTGACCTACGACTGATACAAGTCTTCTCTTTTTCCTTCTTTTCCTTCTTTTATCTTGGTCGTGTACCAAGGAAAAAACTCGATAAGCTGGCCTGCTGAATGCTGTCAAAAAAATTGTGAGGTTTAGACCTCTTTTCTTGGATCGTGTGATCCTGTACTTGTGAAAGGGATGCCTGTAGGTCACGGATGACCTGTTATTTCCCAGTTTTGGTGTGACTACAATATTATGAGGATCTCTCCGGTTGTTAATACACTTAGACACTCTTGGAAGCCTGGTAGACTAGAACTGTTGATTCTGTACAGGTCTGAAATCAATCTAAGCCTAATTTTTTTTTTTTGGAGAGTTGGTGCTGGTCTGTGTTCAGTTTGTGTCCAAAACGAATTGTGTGCATGTAGACTGCTTATTTGGGGTGCTTCTAGGAATTTGTTTTTGGTGTTAGGAGGGATCCTAAGTTGTGTTTTGAAACTAAATAGTGTTCTTAACCATGTCCTCTGAGAATTCTGCAACTTCTGAGGTTTCAGGAGGTCAAAACGGAATGAATAGGGAGATGGATATGAGTTTTCCTATGGCTGTAATTCCCTTTGATGGACTGAACTACCTTGAATGGTCTAGGGGAATTAAACTCTACATTATTGCTAGGGGGAGGATAGGATATATTAATGCTTAAGTGAAGGAATCTAAGACTAGAAGTGCTGAATATGACATGTGGAACCAAGAACATAGTATGGTGATGTAATGGCTCTTGGTTTCTATGCTGCCACAAGTAAGGAAAACATTCATGTGGGTTGAAACAACTTGTGAAATATGGGAGCAAGTGAAATATACCTATTCGGAACAAAGGCACTTTGCCAAGATATATCAATTGCAAGCTGAATCCTCCACTTGCAAGCAGGGGGAGAGAAGTCTCTCAGTGTACTACTCAGATCTGACATCAATATGGAAGGAACTAGATCATTACCAAAATGTGAATTGGAAGTGTGATAAAGATGCAAAGGCCTACAAGTCACTTGTTTCCCAGCAACGAGTATTTTATTTTCTTTTGGGGCTGAATCCTACATATGAGTCTATTAGGGTACTCTTGAAAAGTAAATACTTGCCTTCAATTCAGGAAGTTTATGCCTTAGTTCAATCTGAAGAGTAGAAGAAGTGTGATGAATTGTGCAGAGGGGGAGCCAGTTGCTCTAGCTATCAGAGGAGGTACAAATTCAAATGTTGGAGGCTCTTCTAAGAAGGGTGATTTACAAGAGAGAGTGGATGGCAAAGACAAACTTTGGTGCACTCACTGTCTGAAAGACCAGGCACACTAGAGACACATGTTGGGGACCTCCATGGTAGTGTGCTCACCTACCTCTTCAAGTTTACCAAAAATTTTCTTAGGCTTTGTGGACACAAGAGCAGTGTTCTCACGTACAGACACTTGCATCATAGCATTCCTCCTACTCTCTTCATTCTACACAGGAGAATATGTTGTGGAGAGAGACAAAATGTCAGCACTTAGGTTCTGTTTCCTGGTGAAGTCATAATCGTCATTCAGCCCAGCAGGAAAATCAAAAACTCGGTTTTTTCAATGTACTTCTTGTACCGTTTTGCATCAACAGGACCCTTCCACTCCAAAGCCTCTAGCCTCTAAATGATCAATTTCTTCCCAAATTAATTGTAAGGAGGAGAAATACATAGCCACTAATTTCTCCTCCTGTCGCATATTACATGCTTCTCTTCGCAATTGATAAATTCTAGCAGTGTTTTTCGCTTGAGAATAAGTTGCAGTTAGTCCGTCCCAAATATCTTTAGCTATTGAAAGGGACATATAGTTGCAGTCTATGTGTGGCTACAAAGAGAATACAAGCCAAGACATAACCAACAGATTATCTTGCTCCCATTTTGAATGGTTTGGATCTTTAGGCTTTGGCTTGGCTTCCTTACCAGTAATAAATCCAAGCTTACTTACCTCTTCCACCGATTGTAAGCTTATCTGATTGAGATCATTCAAGAAAATTTGTTCCATTAAGTTTACAGTAGTAATCTGCCCTCCAGCATTGTCATTACTTCCTGAGAGGACATAGGTAGGTATGCGAACATCTTTGTGTGAGTCCATCGAGCACAAACCCTTCAAAAACTCCTTTCTCACCAAAACCAGAGTATCCAACACCGGCTGAACTCCCAAACACCTTTCCCACAAGGTTAGATAGGAGTTACAACCGTAAAATTTGAAACAAAAAGGTACTGGGGGAAAAATAGGGGAAGAAAAAAATTCCCAAAAATGTTTTAGGGCTCCAAAAAATCCACGACTACTTGCAGTCCCAGGGATTTAGTACGACTCAAACACGAGGTTTCAACAACAACCAGACCACCATATGAGCATGCAAGCCCTAAGCTCTAGATCTGGATCTTCGCCATTTTTCATCGAAAAAAATCCAAGAAAAAACTAAAACAGCCTCAAACCACCATGAAACCTATACCAAAATTTCCCTAAAATCAGGGTGAATCAATGAGCATAAAAAAACCATAAGGATGTCATCGATTGTATGGGCTGTTGACATCAACTGGCAGTGTATTGACATTAGCAGGTTTGTCTGTGAGTCGCGACCAGTAGTAGATGGTTTCCTTGATCGTGTGGCACTCTGATACCAAGTTAAAGGTTTTAGTGATGTGAAAGAAGAAGAAGAGGAAGAAGAAGGAGAAGAAGAGATGTGCCGGGAATGCTATGGTGTGTAACTATTCACACCAAAGACATTTAATTTAATCCTTTTGAGCAAAATTACAAAGGGGCCCTTGGATATCTGCCCAAATACAAAAGTACATAAAAGGACATAAATGCCCTTACACTCTCAACAATATCCACTCAAAAGGCATCAAGGACATGGGAATTAAGCAAAAGGGATCTGACCATCTCAAAATTTGTCAGATTTTGTGTTCTACAACTCCGCTTTATTGAGGAGTTCTTCAAATAAGTCTAGAACTCTCCATTTTCCCCCATCATTCTCCCCCTAAATCCAAACATAATATGTGAATGGTGGCACTATTCTATGTTATTGTCATAGTATGAAAGTTTTGAAAAGTGGAAAAAACTTTTGATTTCTTTTGGATCAAGTATACCCAGGTGTATCTAGTGCAATCATCAATAAATAATGCAAAATGTCTATAGCCAAGTCTAGATATAACAAGAGATAACCAAACATCACTATGTATTTTACTTGAAAAGGAATAGTAGCATGCCCAAAAGGTGGAAAAGGCAAAATGTGACTTTTTCTAAGACCACAATTATGCAAGATTCATTAATATTCTTAGAAGCAAAAGTAACAGTAAGCAAGCAAACAAAAGAAATAGATGATCCAAGTTCTTAACATGTGTATGGCCTAAATGTCTGCCATAAATGCCACATATTATTTCAATGAGAATGCAAAATATCACTAGTACTAGAAAGGAAACAAGAAGCTGAAGACAATGGCCTCTTCTCAAACTCAAGAGCAAATAGCCTCCCAAGCCTACACCCCTTCCCCTTCACTTCCCCAATGCATTGGTCCTATATAAAACAACCAATACGAGAAAACAAAACTATGTTACGAACTTACCATCATCAACAAGTTGTCCAACAGATATAATATTAATAATTAATTGAGGAATAAAAAAGTTCTTTTGGGAGATGAAAGGAAGACTAACTGAGAAATATAAAGCTCAGCTTGGAAGAAGTACAAATGCAAATATGTACAGTGCAAATACATACAAAATACAAGTTCTATGCTCTACATATTTGTATTTGTACTCCTTCCAAACAGAGCCTAAAGAAACAAATCATCACAACCTGCAATTTCAAAGACTCACCACTACTAGTGACAATCTAGGTATTAAAAGAGTAGAGTTTGGAAGTTTGATGAAGCAAGGCCCCAATCATATGATTCAAGGCACCTGAATCAATAATCCTCATATGGCTAGGAGAGGAACAAATGGTAGAAGACTTATTAGACGGGCCAAGAGAAGAGAAAGCAGAGGAAATAGCCAAAGATGTGAGTTGTCGTATCTTCTCCTCAGCCAAAGTGCCAAAAGATTCCCCCTTTTAGTAGAAGTGGAGGAAGGAGTACTATCAGATAAGGACTCTATAACTGTGTGAAGTGCCTTATGCTTACCTTTCTTGGGAGGCTGAGTCGGGCCTTCAATGATAATATGCCCCTATTGCTTTTAGTAGGTACAAAATTCTTTTTCTTACAGTGAGACTAGACTGTGAGAGGCCACATGCCCAAACTCTTTGCATTCATAACACTAATTCTTGGAAAAGTCCTTAAAAGGCCAAGGCCATTTTCTTATACACTTTACAGCACAAGTTCATCATGTAAACTGGATCCATTCTCAATTGTCTATAAAATGATGGAATAAGGCAGCAATTTCTTCTGTTCTTTTTCTTTCAAGTTAGATCATTTACGATTTTTCTTAAGAACCTGCAATTGATTAGTTTCAACTTTCAAATGATAATTGGGAGGGTCCAAATTCAATGGAAAACATGAAATGATTCCATTTTATTGGAATTTGTGGCCCTTGATAGAGTGAAATGGTAAAATGGGATTTTCTAGCTACAACAGATAGTAGAATAAGGATTTGTTGAGTTGAATTGAGTATAATTGGTGCAAATATTGTTTGCAGATTGAAAATGTATATGAATTTGTTTATGAGACATGTGGACAATACTGGCCATACATTCATCATTATATTTTCATGGCCATCATTCTTATGCAAATTACTATGATTGGTCTCTTTGGATTGAAGTCAAAGCCAGCAGCATCAATTTCAACAATACCACTCCTCTTGTGCACTTTCTTGTTCAATGAATATTGCAAGATCCGCTTCCTTCCTACATTTTGCTGTTACTCTATCCAGGTATCTTCGAGTCTATATGTGCATTTATGGTAAAGTCTTACAGTGATAATCAGTAAATGGAAGTTTATTATTTCTTGGTTACATTTTTTTATCGTACAATGTTTTAATGAGGGAACCTCTACCAATTGAGGCTCCATTGTCATTTTCATTTTGAGCCCCATTGCAGAGATAGAAGTTAGCAACTCAAACTTAGAACATGTCATGTGGTTTTGAGTTGGGCTTCCAACAGATAGGATTGAACAAGATATACCTAGATCCAGATTTGATTCATTAATATTCAGATTTGAATCAAATCTCACCAGCAGATTTAGATCAATCATCAATATCAGATCAGATTGAGATATCGAATACCTCTAATGAAAGGCCATTATCCAATGTTAGTCCTAGCTATCTGGGGTCGTGGGAGGGTTGGACTGGATATGGACTTAGCCTTTTGTCTTTTGTTGTTTTTCTTTTTTCTTTTTCTTTTTTTTTTGATAAAGGCAAAGTATGGTAAATTGAATTAATATCTAAACCAGGTCCTTTGTACAATGAGTAACTATACAAGATAACCCATTAGGTACCTCCAAAAAAATCCACCATCAAGAAAGAAGAAGCCTACTGCTGTGTTAATCACCACTGTTTCTGAAACTAGCTTCTGCTAAAAAATTCTTCTATTTCTTTCTAGCCATATGGCCCACAAAATTGCTGCTGTGACAGAGGACCAGCACAGCTTGCCTTTCCTTGACATACCCTGGACCTGCCAGCCTTTTAGTAGGTCCTCCAATGACCTCGGAACACACCACCTTATGTTTAGAGCAGCAAGAAAATAGTTCCAAATTGAAGCACTGAAACTGCAGTTCAGGAACAAGTGACTAGAAGTCTCCATCTCTCTATTAGAGAAAACACACAGCAGATCAGGAACACTGAAGCCCTTCTTCACTAGCACGGTCTTTGTCAATCATTTGTCCAGCACAGATACCCAGAGAAAAAAATTTACTTTAGAGGGGGCCGCTGTTCTGTATATGGATTTACTTGGAAAAGTATCTCTCACTTGTCCTGCCAGACCCATATAGAAGGATTTGACAGAGAGCTATTCGGTCCTTGTCTACTTCCAGCATCTTGTGTCTTGGGCTTGCGGGTTCAGCCATTGACTTTGAAAGGACTTCAAAGAGATGGGCTACCATGTCCACCACCCAATCATTGAAATCTCTCCTTAAAGCTGGTGACTAGCCCACTTCAAAGAGATGTGCTACCATTTCCACCACATAAGAGTCAGCTATTAATGCTGATCTATCTGCAGCCACTGTAAATAGAGCCGGGAAGACATCTTTTAGGGCAGCATCCCCACACCAAGGATCCATCCAAAAGTAAAATTTCCTACCATCCCTCACTCTGAGTTTTAAGCCTTCAGAAAACTGGTCATAAGCTCTGGAGATACCCTTCCACATTGTGCACCCGCAAGACTGGTTAGAGTTCGAAGTATCCCACCCATTGCTTCTCAACCCGTATTTCTCCTCAATAACCTTTCTCCACAAACTATCTAGTTCGGCAGTGAATCTCCAGAACCATCTTCCCAACAGGGCAGCATTGAACAGTTTAAACTTCCTGATTCCTAAACCTCCTTGACTTTGAAGCTTGCACACCTGCTCCCAATTGACAAGATGGTACTTATTTGAATCCTTCCAGCCAGCCCAGAGGAAATTTCTCATTTTTTCCTCAATTTTGTCAGCCACATTTGAGGGCATTGAGAAAATGGATAAAAATAGGCAGGTAGGTTGGCCAAGATGCTTTTAGTTAAGGTCACCTTACCCCCTTTTGACAGGTACCAGGCCTTCCATGGGGCCAATTTTGAATCTAAACTTGCAAGGACTGGATCCCACAAAGATTTGGAAATGCACTTTGCACCCAGAGCCAGAGGAAGTCCCAAATATTTGGAGGGAAGTATTCCCACTTTACACCCTAACACATCAGCCAAATCCTGTATGTTTGGCACCTCTCCTACTGCCATCATTTCACTTTTTAGATAGGTTGACCTTAAACCCTGACACCACCACAAACCAAAACAATAAGTGCTTAAAACAGCTTACCTGATCCACCTTGGCATCACAAAAAAATAGTGTGTCATATGCAAATTGCAATGAAGGTACCTTAGTCCATTGTTGCTGACCTCAAAACCGTCTAAACAGCCTGAAGTCGAGGCTCTTTCCACCATCCGGCTCAAACCTTCCATTACAAAGAGGAAAAGTAATGGAGATAGAGGGTCACCTTGTCTTAACCCTCTTGAGAATTTAAATTGTTCTTTCACTGTCCCATTGATCAAGATTGATACACTTGGAGTTGATATGCACATTTTCATCCAATTCCTCCACTATGACCCAAAGTGCATCCTTGCTAACATATAATCTAGAAAGGCCCAATTCACATGATCATAGGCCTTTTCCAAGTCGATTTTACAGACCAGCCCCCTTTTCCCACTTATTTTTCTTGAATCAATGATTTCATTTGCAATTAGAACTCCATCACGTTTCGCTCCTTGGAAGTCAGAAACGAGAGAGTCCATCACTCCTCACAATCTAGATGCTAGAATCTTTGCCATTATTTTATAAACACTTCCAATTAGGCTGATAGGGCGAAAGTCTTTTAACTGAGCTGCTCCACTTTTCTTAGGGATTAAAGAGATGGAGGCATTCAGACTTCTCTCCAAGGCTGCTGAGCTATGGAATTCTTCCAGGACTTAGAGCAGATCTGATTTGATTAAATCCCAAAATTTTTTATAAAATAATACTGTGAACCCATCTGGTCCAGGAGCCTTCTCCCCTTCCATTTCATCAATGGCCTTCTTGACCTCCTCTTCTGAGAAAGGCTTTTCTAACACGACAGCCTTCTGATCTGTTTTGTTTTTTTGGGCATGAAGTGACCTTTCTTGCATTAATGGTATCTATAATACCATCAACAAATTATTAATCTATCAATTATCAGAATACTATATTATGAATACAATGAACTAAAAGCGACTTGTATATTGTTTGTCATGAATAAAATGACTTGAAAATAACTTCTGAGACTTGAATCTATAACTTTACTAAGCATACAACAATCAAAAGAAATTTAAAACATACATATCAATTTTGTAAAGATATAAGCATATATATTTAAATATCAGATAGGATCATATTTCATTGTACTGAGGTGGATCCATACTTGATCAAGTAATAAACAGATCAAATTTGGATTGCTTATGTTGGATCTGATCTGAATTTGAATTTGGACAAACAGATACCATTTGCAGACCTAGTCCTGAGATGCTAAATTTGTATCAAATCCATGGTCATGTAAGGAATTTATCAATGACTTGAATATCCCCTGAAATGCATTGGGCAGGCTTGGGTTCAGCATTTGTTAAAATTTGAAAGGGCCTGGCCATACTGTAGTATAAATTCTTTTAGTCAGGTACCTGACTTGCAACCCTATATATCCATCCTTTAAAAGATACATTGATTACATATTTATTCTGGATAAACTGATTATTTTCTTTGAAAAGAAGAGTGTTGTGCATTCTCTCATAATACTGTCAACTTGGTTTCTTTTTCTTTTCTTTTTTTTTTTTCCTTTTTCTTCCCGGGGGGAAGGGGTGTTATATGGTGATGGACCAGTTAAATAGTTCTCCTCAATGATTCATCATTCATGTCATAAAATTCGAACTTTCCTTCTTGGTATTGAGCAATTAGTAGCTGTTGTAAGATGCCTTTTATTATGTTTTCAGGTGCAGGGGATCTTTTTGTTTTTTTTCTGTTCTCAGGGACTTCTCTGTAGTATTTATGTTTTATTTATATAAAAGAGGTCAGAGGGGTCCTCCCTCTGCACGAACTAAATTGAAAAAAAAAAACCTCACATTCTGCTGTCTTCTTCTCTTCTCTTCTCTTCTATTTTGTTTCTTCCTTCTCACATGGGTTATCCTTGACAGATTTTACATGGTACCAGAGCATAATCTGTCCTAGGAAACCCATTTTTCCCTTCTAATTTTCTACAGCAATCTGGTTTCTTAAAGGGTGCCGCACTGTAATCTTGGACTGACTGGATCTCATCTCTTCAGCTTTTTGAGCTTTGGTTTTTCTTATTTTCATCTCTTATTCAGATGTTGGTGTATTTCCTGGAAGTGTATTTTGTGATTGGTTTTGTGACCTAAAGGTGTGCTGTTAACAGTTTGTTCAGCCATGTCAACTAATAGTTCAGTCACATCTAATCCTCTTGGAGGGCAAAGTAGTGCTAATAGCAGTACGGAGAGTGTTAGTTTCCCAGTCTCCATCATCCTTATTGATGTGGATTAAATTACTTGGAGTGGTCTAAAAGTATAAAACTGTCTGTTGGAGCCAAGGGAAAGTTGGGGTATCTCACTGGGAAGACCAAGAGACCTACTATAGAAGGAGGTGACTGTGATAAGTGGAAACAAGAGAACTATTTAATCATGTCCAATGTTTAAAAACATGAGGCGTTGCACTACCTAGAGGCGTGAGGCGTAGTTTAAAACGTAAGAAGCCTAAGCCTCCTTGAGAGGAGGGAGAGGAGGAGGAGGAAGGGGAAGAGGAAGACGGATCTCATTTTTCTTTATTTTTAATAAAAATATTTTATATTAAAAATAATGAAGATGAATAGCACTAGTTGAAAGGGGGGTCCGGGGTAAAGCCCCTGGTCCACTTTCTTTCCCCTTATCTATTCTTCCCTTCCCTTTCCTTTTCCTTTTCCTTTTTTTTTCTTTTTCTCTTTTTTTCTGGTCTTTCTTTCTTACTCTTTCCCTTCCTTTCCCTTCCCTTCCCTTCCTTTTTTTTTTCTTTTTTTTTCCTTTTTTGTCTTTTTTTGTGATGTGTGCATGAGGCATATGCCTCTAGCATGCCTCATGAAAAAAGCGTATAAGGTGTATGCCTTGGGTCTGCGCCTTAGGGCGTTTTGGGGGTGCGCTTCCAGGTGTATGCCTCCCATGCCTTTTAAAACAATGATCATGTCTTGGCTTGTTTCTTCTA